GAGTTTGGTACCCTGCAGAGGGAGGACCTCGAAAAGGTGTTCCTGAAAAGGATTCTACAAGTAAACTAGTCTGAAAAATGCATGTTCTCCCTTTATTGTTCTACTGCAAGGCGAACTGCTGAAATCTACTTGTCAATTGATTTTTGTCAACAAAAACTGCGTCCCGAGTTTACACACCAATTCAGAGCACGGTTCGTTAAGAAAGCCATGTTTCGAGACAGAAAAACCGAGCAATATGAGCTTAGCAACAATTGGAAATTGATTCCGGTCTAATGGATGGAATGCATTTTTGGCGGAAACAGGCTCTACTGCCTACACGAATGGAGATGAATATCCAATGTTAGAGTGTCCCACAACTGAGACTTGCGGTCGAATAGGCAAACACAGGAAGGAAGTTGAACATAGAGGGAAATCGCAATCGTTTGCGTTGCGCTAAACACTGGAAACTCAAGGTCATCCACGTGGTGAATAATTTTTGTTATCTTAAAAGGAGGATGTATTGCATTGTTTGCGTTTCCTATGACACCGAGTCGTCAACATGCGTCGGAGTTGATCTTGTTCATCCGTTCTTCTCAGCTGCTTGAGGCGTCACAAGTCCTCACGATTTGATCGTATTAGACTGCAACAAAGTGGAATTTTTTCAGTCAAGGAATTAATAACTTGTCCACTCTCATTGACGTAACACACTACTCATCAGTTTTCCGAAAAAAAGGTTCAGCAATCTAAACGCAGCTTTGCCCGTCTTGGAGGCATGCAATCTAGGTTCTCGTAGAACGTAAGTTTGGAGGAACATCAGAACCACGCCTGTCTGAGGATATCCAAAGTCATTGTAACCAGTCGAGTGCTGTCAGTTTTTAAAAATCTGGTCGCTGGCTTGTTCGCTGAGATGGGCAATTCGATTGCAAACGTTTCATCACCAATCAAGCTGACAACATCAGTGCGTTATTGGGGAGCGTAGAGGTGCGTAGCGGTGGGTTAGTGGTTGGGCGTTGAGTAGGGTTACGTGTGTGTTAATATACGTGCTGTTAGCCGGGGATGACCTTTGATCGCGATTAGTTGTTCGGTCGGACGGTTCCATTGGTTGCTCTGTTATACCATGTCCTCGTTCGCCGATGCCCACGTGACCTTTGAGCTTGGCATCCCCTATCGTCATAAACTGGCCAATGCAGGAATAACTTTGTCCTTTCGAGTCCCGGCATGTGACCTTTATTGATTTGCCTCCAAGGAGTTCCTTGTTTCTTGGTTTGTGAACCAGATGTTCGATCCTCCTTGACTGTTCCGGTTGAGATGTTGGTCTTCTGCACGTGGCACTGTGTAAATTGGATCCAGTTCAATGCACTGGTTGATTGATTCTGCCGTGGAGCACCATGCTTCCAGAAATTCTCTTCCGTGTCGCGTGCCTCCGTATGCCAAAATGTTTGCGTTTTCCAGATTGAATTTGTGGCCATCTTGGTCCTCGCGTATGGGTAACAAGGACAGGTGTCATGTCTCCTGACGGTCGCGTTGTGCTCCTTCATTCGTGTACATAATCTCCTCCAAGTTTGTCCTAAGTAGAATTTGTTGCAGTTGTTGCAGTTGAGTTGATATATCACATTGTTCTGTCTCGGTTGTCCTTCGGTCTAGAGATAAATTTCCTTACGGTGGCATTCGGTTTGTGGGCCGAGAAGACTCCTTTTTGCGCCAATAATCTGGTTGCGAGTTGTGATATATTCTTGATGTAATGTAGGACTACCCGTCTAGTGGCTTGTTCTTACTGTTGCTGTTGTTAAGACGTCTTCTTCTCCAAGCTCCTCTTGATAAGCCTTCTTGATATCCATTGTTCTGGAATACTCTGAATAGATGGTTTTCTTCCTGCTTCCGTAGTTCTGTGGTGCTGCTGTGGTCTCTGCCCTCTTGAACAAGGTTTGGACACAGATCTTTTTGTGATTTACTGGATGATTGCTGTTGCAGTTCCGTGGGTGATCCGTATGAGTGTCTTTACGGTATACACAGGTTTCCAGAGTCCCATCCATCTTTCTGTTCACTAAAAACGTCTAAGAACTGTAGTCGATTGTTTCTTCCCAGATCTATTGTAAACTTGATATATTCAAACGTCGTGTTGAGCAGTTCATGTGCCCCGTGTACTGAATCTCATTTCATGATGACAAAGGTGTCGTCCACGTAGCGGATCCACAGCTTTGGATTGATGATCGGCAGTACCACATGCTCTAACCTTTGCATTACCGCCTCAGCAATAACTCCTTATATTGGGGATCCCATTGGAGTTCCTTTCAGCTGTTGATATATTTGTCCATCGAAGGTGAAGTATGTATCCATGCAAAAGTCCAGCAGTTTGCAGCAGTTTCAGCAATCCAGTGAGTAGTATGTTACGTCAATACAATCTGTCACGATATTGGCGTATCGTACCAACTAACACCTGAATAAACCTAGTGTAGCACATTCAGTAAAAGAAAAACAGCTCAAAAGGAAACATTCGGTTGGGTATCTGGTAAAAACCAACTTGGCATGTAAACGAGTGCATTCGGATGGGATATGAAGTCATTCGTAACTTTAGGGGCTCAGCTGTCATATGGTCGGACTGCTAATGCCTTCCAGTTTTCTCTTCACAAGCCAAACTGCCCTGTTCTAAAGTTTCCTCGTGAAATGCCATTCCGAGCAATTCTTCGGCTAGTTCTTATGAATGGGGATCAGTCGAGGTATGAGGCACCCGAACAGAATTGATTGACTTCGCACGCTTAGATTACTGTGTCAGAAGAGCTGGTTGATCAGAGATCCCTTCCAAGAAGACGGTAGCGTGTAACAGGTTGCTTTTGTCTGACCGTGTGCAAACCTGTTGGTTTTGGGAGAGAGGTAAATAATGCGGTCAGTGTGGCTTGGGAAAGATCCATCAAAGAAGCACTGATATGAAATGGCCTACTCAAAACACAACCTAAATCTAAGGAAATAATGTGAGCTGAAGGCCAGACACTTCGAACGATGATTGGTTGCGTCGATGAACTGACCCGCCTGCAGTCAAGTAGTGCCACGGACGCTTAAAGCCTGCTGGACACATTTTGTTTCAGGTGTTGGTGGTTGTGGGACTTTGTAGTACACATATTCACATGACTCCTTTTTGAACAGTCGTCCTCCTGTTCTCGCGCAACCGCCCTGTCTAACCCAACAAAGGTTATGAAGCACTGGACTCGAGTTTCGCTCTTATTAGAGCCCAGTGTGCGCTGGTGGAGTAATGGTAACACGTTCGTCTCGCATATCAATTGTGTGGAGTGCAAACCCCATCACGGCTATTGGATGTGCACTGCTGATGAGCTCTGCTCCATGGTGACTCCGAAAGAAATCGTTTAATGAACTTTGAACGGAGTAAACTAAGTGGTTAAACTGTTTACAAGATAGAGATCTACGACTGAGCAGAACAATTTTCCGAAACCGTGTGAAGTCGAGTATGGAATGTCCCTGGCGTAAGCAAGCTACTTAACCTCGATCTTACCTAGACGAACGGTCATGATTTATTTGCGTCTCACTGGGTTAACGCCTAAAAAAGTTGTCTATCAAGAGGATGTCCTACTCATACATACACTTGTAAAACGTTCCACTATCTTTGGTGGAGACTTCGCCTCGTGAGAGAATCCACTGTGTGCTAGTAGCTTCAACACAGACGTTCGGTCATGAGCGATTGTTCATCAGTGTGATTAGCTCTCATCCAAGACGCACTGTTTTATACAGTGCCGCTAATTCGTCTCGGTTCACGTGACCGGTTCCATCCCAGTCTTCAGTAGAGCCGAAGACTTGATCGCCTTCAAAAGAAACCAACGGGCACTGGAAGATTACATCCGTTCGCAAATTAACTTGGTGTTAACGGGATATGTGGCTAGATCTCGGCTTAATCCTTCGTTTACGATGTTGCTCAACTAAAGGTGGATGGGACTCTGGAAACCTGCGAATACCGTGAAAGGACTCATGCGGATCAAATCCTGAACTACAACAGCAATAATCCAGTAAATCAGAAGAAGAACTGCCTCCAAACCTTGTTCAAGAGGGCAGGGACCACAGCAGCACCACAGAACTGCAGAAGAAGGAAGGAGACCATCTGTTCAGAGTATTCCAGAACCATGGACATCCAAGCAATTTCGTCAAGAGAAGCTCGAAGCTCAACAACAGCAACAGTAAAAACAAGCCACCAGACGGTTAGTTCTGCCTTAAATCAAGAATACATCAGAACTCGCAACCAGATTATTGGCGGAAAAAAGGAATCTTCGTGGCCAAAAGCCGAATGTTACCCTAAGGAAATTTATCTCTAGACCGAAGGACAACCGAGGCAGAACAATGTGATATATCAACTCAACTGCAACAACTGCAACAAATTCTACTTAGGACAAACTTGGAGGAGATTATGTACACGAATGAAGGAGCACAACGCGACCGTCAGGAGACATGACACCTGTCCTTGTTACCCATACGCGAGGACCAAGATGGCCACAAATTCAATCTGGAAAACGCAAAAATTTCGGCATACGGAGACACGCGACGCGGAAGAGAATTTCTGGAAGCATGGTACTTCACGGTGGATTCGATCAACCGGTGCATTGAACTGGATCCAGTTTACGCGAACCTACTTGCAGAAGACCAACATCTCAACCGGAACAGTCAAGGAGGATCGAACATCTGGTTCACAAACCAAGAAACAAGGAATTCCTTGGAGGCAAATCAATAAAGGTCACATGCCGGGACTCGAAAGGACAAAGTTATTCCTGCATTGGCCAGTTTATGACGATAGGGGATGCCAAGCTCAAAGGTCACGTGGGCATCGGCGAACGAGGACATGGTATAACAGAGCAACCAATGGAACCGTCCGACCGAACAACTAATCGCGATCAAAGGTCATCCCCGGCTAACAGCACGTATATTAACACACACGTAACCCTACTCAACGCCCAACCACTAACCCACCGCTACGCACCTCTACGCTCCCCAATAACGCACTGATGTTGTCAGCTTGATTGGTGATGAAACGTTTGCAATCGAATTGCCCATCTCAGCGAACAAGGCAACGACCATTAATCCTTCGTTTACGAATTTGCTCAACTATAAGTGCTGCTCAAACACCACCTGTGGTCCCATTCACCACGATATTCCAGATGTCGCAGTACGTCTTTTTGAAGGGAAATTACTTGCTGATAATGAAATCATAAGATCACCCACGTACGCTGAGTCTGGGTCAACTTAATGGGTGCAAGTAGGAGAAAGCCTCTCGTGTTCTCTCAAACTGTTTTAAATAAACGCGCGTCGTTCGCTCAAGCAATGGGCTATTCAACTAGTTTAATGTTCACAGTTTCAGCCAAGCGGTAACGGAGTTGGTCCTTTTCGTCAGAAGTTGTGGTGTCATATCACATTATCGTGACGGGACGATAAATACCCCACTAAGGTCGCCACATATGGATGTAAGAAGCTTCGTACTCAGACATCCAGACTCCTCTAGACCTAGCTAGATTAGCGTCACAGATGGTCTTGAAATAAGAAACGTCTTTATTACATTACGTCTGGTGATTGTAGCTATTCGCAAACTTGAAAAAATCCAGAAAAACAAAAAAAGCCAGCCTTTCGGAGCTCCGTTTCATAGGCTTCCAGTTTGAGTTTTGCATATCCGGATCTTTGTAAGTGAAAAGCCAGACAATACTTAACGCTTTTTTATAAATATGGGGTATCATGAACGGCTGGAATCTCAAGAAACTCTAAATGAGAGTTCAAAAATTATCACTGAGTCAATAACGGAAGATCAGCAATTTGGTTTGCTTAGGCCGACCAACATAGGGTGCAGTGTTATCCAATCAGCGCAGCCTCATTGTCCCTTGGCCCAGTGCTGATTGGTTCATCGATCGGATAGCCAATAAATAGTGGTGCAGTTTACTTATTGAAGAAGTACATTTCATTTTGGGTTCTTTGCAACGCGCGACACTCAAGGGCAGCGAAATTTGTAATATCTACGAGTGGAACAAACAACACTTTGCTAACCAGTCAAAGCTAGTGATCAATTTAACAAAACCATATAAAGTGCTGACTTAATAGTGAATCTAGTTTGAGATTTGTGTTAAGCTATGGTTCGATTTATGGACATTATAACTGGTGATAATTCGAACTAGCAATTTGTCGCATGCAGTGTAAATTGAAAGTTGGGGTTCCGGACCTCAGTGCCACAAGGGGAATTTCGTTAGCTCAGTCCTATACGAAGGAATGACATCCGTGATGTTAAGCCATGGGATTATCTTATCATGAGGACCAAACTTGGAACAAAGTAAGATGAATCTACATGAAACCCAACAAAGGGGTATCTGGGACTAACCGATTCATGGATTACACCCAATTCCCCCAGGCGTGTCAGTCAATCACCAAATCGATCGATCATTTAGCCCACAGCTTATGTTTACATTTATGTGATATTTTCAATTGGTATCCACATTTTTGAGGCTTTAATGACCTTCAGTAGTGGGTAAAATGCTCCGTTGAATATAGCGCGTTAATTCCAACGGATTATGAAGCGGGACGAGAGATTAACTGTAAGAACCGTAAGACTGCGGCCGCATTTTCACCCCTCATCATACTAATTTTCCTCACCGGCATAATTTCTAGCCACAAGGCAAGCAGAACAGGCTTGTGGGGAATTTCTTCATGATTAACTATCGGTGCGTTTCTGACAGTGTACTTGTGTCCTTGAGGTAGGTCAGCATCGCGTAATGTACCGAACGAATGGATGAATTCCGGGTCATCCTGAAAGAAGCGACAAATGTTGTTTTTGCCGATAACGATAATTGACTTAATAGTGATGCGAACACAAAGTTCCAATCAAATCATTTTCCTAGCCTGGACGGATTGAAACCAATCTTTGCTGCCCACGTTGGCCAAAAACTTTACTAACATTACGGTTAAAAAAGAGGAGAAAAAGGGTATTTCTCAAGGCTCTCCTGGTTAACGGTAAAAGTTCTAAACTCTTCCCGGATGCTATGCTATTCGTTAGGAGAAACGTCGTATTTTTTTGCCTGAAAGTGGTGATTCCAGGAGTTCGATAAAACCTAGTATTATTATCCTCGAACTTCAAACTTTACCTCATTCGGTTGCTTTCATTTTTAAGTTAGGTAAAGAATTTTCTAAAACAGGGTCTTGAAGATACGTTGTGAAAGTTGTCAGATCAGAGTAAGGATGATAGCATGACCTGTCAATTTGAATTTCAGACATTCCGGCAGCTGTCTGACTTTCTTTGCGGCTCAGCTACCTCATTCTCATCGAACACAACTCCTGGGTTTCGATTACCAGTTACGACAAGCCTGGTAGACACAGTAGCGTATGATATCAGTCGTCTGACCGGACCGCAAACCCAAAGCAAATTAAATCCGTCAGACTTTTTTTGTCTCTCAGAATAAAGGACATGACAAGTTGAAATGTTCATCGACTTCCAGAATAATACTTATTTCTGGCTAGGCTATCTTCAATTCGGTCGCCATTACAGAAATTTCTAAACCGAATTACTTAGCGTCCGTGGTCTGATTTCAAACACCATACACCGGTCATCATGCGCCGACGTACGGAACAAACTGATCATGGGTTTGATGAATTAAATCAACCTTGATTGATGTCTTCGTTTCAGATACTTCGTTTCCTTGCTTGCACGTGACCCGAAGACAGAAATTATGGACCAAGCAGTAGGCACGCCAAAAAGACAGTGCACGTATATTGTCATTTTCTACTGTGACAGTAGTATAGTAACTGTTCGTTTCCCAACATGGTATTGGGGGCCAAAAGTGGGTCACGAAAATGCGTAGGTTATGGAAGGGAGCAAACGATTTTCAAACATCGACCGCTGCAAATGACCTTGCAAATGATTTCACTTTGCTTCACTGTACAGTCCATTCTAAGGTTGTGAGGTATCTTCCTGTGGACTGGGATTGAGGTTGAACGACTTACGGGCCTCAAGAAGGGCGAAACCGTTCGTGAGCTGATGAAGAGTTTTCAGTAACCTAATGAGTAGTATATTACGTCCGATACGATGAATATCGTACCAACTGAAACATGAGGTGGCCTGAAACGGCACATTCAGGTAGAACATAAGGTTGAAGGAAACTCGGGGACTGCGCCTACCTGATGAGCCTCAAGAATGGCGAAACCGATTTCTACTGTCGAAGAGTTTTCAGTAACTTTATGTATAGTGTATGGCATCAACATGCAGTTCGTTTTCACCATTAACGGAGAGTGTTCTCAACTCTAAAGCATATTGTAAGATGTGTTACAGTCCATGTCCCATCCAGCATCCTTCATTAGGTGCCCTTCCGCTGGATTATTCGTTCAGCTGTAGCACCCTTCCGGTGCCTAGCTGCCATGCCACACGAAGGAGGCACGAGAGCTGGGATACTGTGAGGTTGCCCAAACCTAGACAGGGGAAGTCGAGAGGTAGAGGTCGGTTTCGAATCACGGACCTTCCGTTCAGTAAATCCGTGCTCTAACCATTTGGTCCATCTCGTCCCCTGCTGGATTAATACCGCACTTTTGTCCAGCAACAATGGTATTAAATGGGCCATAGAAACGAACGTCAGTGTTCCTACCTGATTGCTCTAAATACGTGCATTCTAGACTGATTCGAAAAGCTCCGGTAGATCGAGGAGCCTTCAAACTACTCGGCGACAAGTCGTGCGACAGTCACACCTGTCTTAGGAGGTATCTAACTCTCTGTCCACTTTGGTGTCCCAGAGTCTCGAACCTGGTCTTCTATGATTATTCCAGTCGTTTTTGGGGCTAAACACAAATCTTATTTGTATCGGACTCGATGAACCACGGTATATTAAAGAACCCTCCAGGATGCGAACATTTCGAACGGCATCAGAACAGGGGCCAGCTCTAGTGAAGCAAGAGTTGTGGCTTCGAAATATTATGTCGAATAAACCATCTCTGGATGAACCGGTCACGCGATACCTCAAGGCTTTTCAGTTCCCCCAATTAGTTCGCGGATTGGAAACCTTAGTTGGGGACTGGGTAACCTCTACAAATAATTGTACGTCCCAACTGGTAGTGCGGTTGACTCGGTCAGGTGAATCTTGGGTGTTTTAAAACCGGTGCCCATCATTCCTAGATGTGGCATTTTCAACAAACGTACGCTCAACTGATGCTGATGTGACTTTTAAGTGGAGTTTCCTAGAAAGAAGCTGTGAAATTCATTTGCTGTTGGTACTCCGATGAACTCACCAACTGCTTCCCTTTTACAAGACCCCTTACTATTCCCGATACTGAATCGGTTGAAAAAAATACCGGAGATTGGCCTAGTAGGTGCTTCAACCAAAGTATTTGTTAGACAACTACGGCACTACTCTCGGAGGAATGAAACAGGCCTTCCATCGGACAAGGTTTGTCTTGACCACATGCTGCTGTGAGGAGGGCGACCGCGTGCGTTGAAACGACCAACCAACGACAGAGTAGCTCTATTCAGGCTCCTGATCTATTTGAATCAATCAAACCCACTCGGTCTATCCTGGACAATGACGGAACACCAGACATCTGTCTACATCCGAGTTCACATAATAGGGACAGCGGTAAGCAGTGTTGTGGAATGTATAGAGCTCGGTTGCGCCGCTTTGTTGTTGGTCTGTTCGCCGAGCTTGGCAGTTGGATTGCAAACGTTTCATCACCAATCGTGGTGACGTAATCAGTGCATGATTGAGCGGCCCAGGATTAGA